TTTAAACACCTGTGCTCTGAGATTCTGTTGCTCAAATATTCAACATTCAAGGTGTATTGCAATTGTAAAGACAAGCTGCCTGGAAGCTATGAGGGCTCATCTGAGAGTCTTAGGTACCTTGAGAGAGGTGGCTGTCCCGGGGGGGTTGAGAGGGTCCTGGCATGAGATCTGCTAATAGGGAATCAGAGACTCTTTAGGGACACCTAAAAACTTTTTTTCTCTCCTGTGATATAGAGTGAATCACATTCTTCAAGCACTCACAGAATATTATAACTGACTTTTAGAACTGTTGGTAAATAGGGGAGACAAGTAGCCTTTTTCCAGATGAGAGAAGAGAAGAATCACTTTACCTTCCTAAAACTGGTAGGGAGCATAATCCTGAAAGAAATCTGGGCTTTGAGTTCCTCTTACAGGGGTGGGCAACCCATAAAACCATGTGCGGTGTGGAAGGCTGGCTAAGGACTCTCTCTCTTCCCTTTCCTTGTCTTCTCAATGCTTCACCTTCCCAGCAGTCCTTAGCTTCCACAAAACCACAACTAGGTCTTCACATAAATTGTTGTAGAATGTGAATCTCTTCAGCTTAGCCCTTGACAGTGGGCTCTCTTGTCCTCTTCTTTTACTGTCCCTCATCTCATTGGAACTTTCCAGGGTTAAATGCCACGTATTAGGCTTATTTTAGAAATCCTGAAGCAACTGCACAGAACTAGACAAATAGCACATCCTGAAGGACTCCTTAAGAAGTAAAGGGCTGCCCTACAAAGGACCTCAATAGACATTTCTTCAAAGCTGATATAAAAATGACCTGTGAGCACATAAAAAGATGCTCACTATCATATTTCATTAGGGAAACATGAAAAAAACCACAATGAGATACTACTTCACTCTCACTAGGATGACTATACTAAAAAGACAGACAATAACAAGTGTTGGAGAGGCCATGGAGAAACTGAAACTCTGATCCACTGCTGATGGTAACGTACAATGGGGTAGCCACTCTGGAAAACAGTCTGGACTTTCTTTGAAAGCTAAACAAAGAGTTATCATCACCAAGCAGTTCTACTCCTAGGTCTTTAAAGATATGTCCACATAACAACTTGTACATGAGTGTTCAGAGTAGCATTCTTTGCAAGAGCCAAAGAGTAGAAACAACACAAATGTTTGTCAACTAATAAATAAGACGTGGTATATCCATACAATGCAACATCATTTATCTACTTAAAAAGATGAAGTACTGATTGATAAACACTGCAGTATGAATGAACCTCAAGGACATTATGCTAAATGAAAGAAAACAGACATTAAGGTCACATACGGTATGATTCTATTTCTCTGAAGTGTCTAGAATAGGCAAATCTACCGAGACAGAAAGATTGGTGGTTACCACACTTGGGAGAGGGGGTGCAGAGAGCAACCATGAGTGGGCACAGGGTTTCTTGGTAGGGGATGAAAATGTTCTGGAACTAGTGGTGATGGTTGTACAACCTTGTGAGTACACTAAACATTACTGACTTGTACACTTTAAAGTGGTGAACTTTATTATTGAGATAGAATGTGATCACTTCTCAGTAAAGCTTCTATTAAAAAACAAAACAAACAAAAAAAAGGCTGCCTTAGAGCAGCAGTTCTCACACTTGAGCATGCAGCTGTCACTGGGAGAACTTGTTTAGACACAGGCTGCTGGGTGCTGCCCGGACAGCCTCTGATCCAGCAGGTCTGGGGTGGGGCTCAGGAATTTGCATCTACTGGTCTGGAACCATGTTTTGAGAGCCCCTAGCCTTGAGTACTGCTTCCATCTGTGTGGTGGGCCTGTCCACCTTGTCGCTCAGCTTCTAGGAGTGCTGACAGCAGGTACATAAAGGCCTGACCATTGCTGCCCAACATGGTCTAAAGGCCAGTCTAGCTCTGGAGCTCCCTGCGCAGTCAGTGACGCCTGTCCCCAGGCCTGTATTTCAGCTTGATTCTTCCCTCCGCCTACCTGCCTCTGCCCTTGCCTCCTCCCTCTCACAGGTGTTGATCCTAAGGGCACTCCTAAACGAATGCTCTGATTGCTAAACTCCCCCTGAGCCAGAGGAGAAGCCAACCTGTCATAAAGCACACAAATCATCGGGGGATCTTGTTAAAATGCAGATTTGGATCCAAAAATCAGGGGGTGATGGATTTGAGGTTCAGCATTTGTGACAAGCTCCTGGGCGATGCAAAGCCTACAGGACCTCAAGGTATGCTTCTGATTCCATGGTGAGAAGACTCTATGAGCCACCAGCGCAGGTGTAAATGGAGAAAGGCATCTCTTTTTCTAGATCATAAAAGGCACTGACATTATGCTGTCCTTGAGATCCAGGCCAAGGAACTGGGTTCTGGGTGAGTGTTCCGACAAGGCCTTTCAGGTACTTTCAGTAGCTAATCCCCTTAGCCAGGGACCAAGACCAATTTGAGGTGACTTCCTTCTATGCTCTGTTGTTACACTATGGCTTCAAGGCCCTACTTGGGCAGCAGTGAGTCATCTGCATTGTGTAAGCAGCAGACAAGTGGTGACTGATAGCCACCACACAGCATATCCAGAGAACTGAAGACTGAGTGGGAAGGAAGATGAAAAAAACGTAGAGGTGGGAGTTGGGACTGCTATCTTTTCCAGTGCGTTTTGTCTGCAAGCTGACAGCATATTCTAAGAGCCTACAGGCCAGTTTGGGTCTTGTTCCCAAGGCAGACTATTTCATTAAAAGTTTGTAATCTGTTTCTGACCTGAATCTGTTCCTAACTCACTGGGAGCTCCATAACGTGTCTTTCAGCTTTTCTATCAGGTCAGGCTGATTTTAGATAAGTGCGTGGGTGACAGACTCCAAGCAGATATATATATATATGTATATATATAAAAAAGAGAATTTGGAACCCAATCTTAATGACATTATCATACAAGGAAACCTTCAGGGCATTACACTAACACCCATTGGTCAGAAAGAGCCTCCTAGAGTAGACTAAACCAGGGCAGCATTTCTGAGGGAACAGCTGTCCTTGACCTTCTTTCTTACAGCATCTAGCTAGTGTAACAGTTAGTAAGCAGATATGTGAAGGAACAGTGAAAGCCTAGGAAGAAGGGACAATATGAAGTGGTCATCTTGAATAATTAACGCAAGGGAAGTTATGAAACTTGACAACTTGTCATTCTTGCATGTCCCAAGTCTCAAATTTCCATCCATGTTGTATGTTCAAGAATCTGTCCATTGTACAATCTGTGGAAAGATAAAAGGAGTCCGCTGTGTCTCCGGGAGAACACGAAAATGGAGCAATGGAGCAGCAAACCGATAAAGTGAGCCGCTGCTTGGAAGCTGCGGTGCTGGAGGGACACCATGTGTTTTCCACAGTTTTGTTAGATTTTCATGGCAGTAATGACAAAACTGGGCTAGGGGACAAAGGAAAAACCAGAGTAGGTAAGTCCCTAAAATTCCGGACAGTAACAAGTCATGTCACTGCTCTGTCCCCAGACACCTGCGAGGCACCTGGAAGGGCTGAGGCTGGGAGGCACACACACACAGCGAACATCTTCCAGACCCACTTTCTCTCATTAACAATGGGGAATTAAGAGGAAGTTCCCAAGTGCTTTGCAAACTTTAAAACCCATGCAGGATTACAAATGCCTTGCTTAGTCCCTGCCATTTGCTCTCTCTTTCTGAGTGAAATGCGACTTTAATGGTGCTCCTGAGCCCACTTTATGATACGGGAGCTCTCAGGAGAAGGTAGTCCTTGCTTTTGAAAAATCCAGTCCTTGTGTAAGCAGGAAAAAGAAGTCAAGGTACAAATAAATATTATTTGAGGTGCTGATTATTTACCAGTATACTTGACATCTACTGATTTCCAAATCTGCTAGAGCTTCTTACACAAATAAACACATGCATCCCAAAGCAGGGTTAAAAGGATTCCCAGAAACCTCCGAAAAATACATGAAAATTACTCTCTGAGAAGGAATTTCTCTCCAGTTTCACCACTTCCCACAAGGGGAACAATTTCATGAGAACATAATAGTAAAGGAAACAACACACCACCAAAGAGGAAAATAACATCTTTATAATTACAGATTAGTTATCAAACAAATTCTACACCTACACGCTCACTCTGCTGTGGGCTGCTTCAGTGATGCTGGCTCAGCCTCTTCAGCAGTCAATATTTACAGCTGAACAGCTCAGTCATGAGATTTTTGATACAGAAACCCCAGACAGCAAAAGGCTCTCAAAATGACCCACTCATTTCATTCTTGGGGAATGTGGAAAACACAGTTACGGAGAGCACGGATCCGGGCCAGTCCCCCTGCAGGCAAGGGCTGAGCTTTGCTGTCTTTGCGACAGCCTGATTGATGTCCCAGTGCCAGAGGCAGAGATTACCTAATAATTGCTAAACCGTTCAGATTTGTATGGGACAGGAATAAGCAGCTGAAAGAAAGTCCTGCTTGGCCCAAGCTGGCACATCCCCTTCTCGGGAATTTATCTAAGTTCAGTTCACTTGAGCGCAGAACCCACATTTATTTCAACCCATTGGTTACTTATCCGTTAAATGGGTTTCTTACCCATCGCACTGGTGATTTAATTCCTACCCCATGGCTCCCACAAGAAATAAGAAGTGCCCTATAATTATATAAACTCTTAATTTAACTGAAAATTCAGTGTTGCCATTACCTGTCAGTAATTCCACTCAATTAGGACAATAGACTTCCATTTATTACTGAATTCCTAATTGCTACTCATTTTCCTGGTTAGTAATTGCCAACCCAATCAGACAATGTGCTTAAAGAAAATTCTGCCATGAAATTATATTTCTCTCCATCAGAGGAAAGGTGTCATCGGAGAGCCCTTACGTGGTCAGGAGTGGAGTCCTCTTCTCCAGCCCCAGGCTACTCCAGGCTGAGGATTTTAAAGGCTGCCGTTCCCCGGGATTGGTCAGTGCTGCCTGCGATCCACAGGACTTACCCACAAAGGAAAGGCGTATCCAGGTAGTCAGAGAAACCCAAAGCCAAAGACGAGCTGAAGACTACGCAAAAACAAAAGCCGTCTCCGGATTCCAAAGTTCAGAGTCTCCAGGAAAGACGCATCTGCGGGCTGCGGGCGGGCGGTAGGGGAGGCATCTGCTGCATCTCGGCCACGGGAGACCCGAGCCCAGGGGCCCAGGGCAGCAGGTGCGCCGCGCCCCCGCCGAGGCCAGCGTGCCCGGCCTCTCCCGGCCCGGGCCTCCGCGGCGCGCTGGAGAGCGGGCTTCTGCGGCCGGCTCCGGAGGCTGGTGGCGGGGCGTGGACCCCCGCCCCTCCCAGGCCCGCCGTCCGCCCGCGACCTCGGCGCTCCTCAGGCCCGGCTCTCCTAACTAGCGCAGAAGAGTGAAAACCCGCCGTGTGAAACTTGACAATTTATTCCGGGCCCGGGGGAGGTCACCCGCAGTGCACACGCGGATTGGCTGCGGCGCGCGCCCGGGCGTGCCGGCGCGGGGGCTGGCGGCCGCGGATGCTCAGTGCGCGCTGGTGCTGACGACGCGGCATCGCGGCCGCCCGGGGCCCGGCAGGCGCCGGGCGCGGGTGTCAGGGCAGCGCTGAGGCTGGGCGCAGCGTGACAGGGCAGCGGTCGGTGCCTGGAACGACAGAAGGGCCCCACCCATCCAGACTGGGTGGTTTGGAAGAAACACTCCTTGCTGTTGGGTTTCAGACGTCACAGTCTCTATTTGAATCTTCCAGTTGACATGGGCTCAAGCCATTTACAACCAGCAGATGTTCAGAATGAAGGGTCTACTCTCACTTCATGGTACAGAGAAGGAAATTGAAGATGGAAGGAAGATGGAAGGCTTGTGAAGGTGAGTGACTGGAGAGCCGGGCGAGGGCCTTTTGCTCCCAGAATTTCTACCCAGTATCAGGGCTGCCCTGTGGCTACCTTCCTTGCAGAGAGCCCTAAGCTCAGAGACATCCCAGGAATGCACAGCAGAACACGGATACATGCAGTGAGGTCCACCCACAACCTGAGAGGCTGATAAAGCAAAGAGTATTATCTCCATCTTACACATTAAGAAATGAGGCTGGGAATGGTTCAGAAACTTCCTTGCCCATGCCCTCCCTGCCATACCCTAGGGACAGTGGTAATGCAAACTTAATTTTCTAATTACTGACTTTCAGCCATGATGCCTCAGTTCTCCTTTACCAAAGAGGTATGCTGAAGAGGGGGGATTCCTGGAGGAACCAGCCAGAAACAAGTGGCTAAGGATGACGTTCTTGCAAATAGTGGCAGGCCCGTGAGAGGGCTGCTTCAGTGCCAGCTTTACACATCCGCCCACAGAGCAGCTAGCAATGATTCCTATGGCTCACCCTGTTTTGGTGTTTCTGGACATGTTTATCTCTCACCAAAATCATCACACTCATCCGCCCCCACTATCCACTCTACTCATTGTGTCTAGTCTGGCTTGTGCAATCTCCAACCACAGAAACAGAAGGAAATTATTAAAGTGGGATAGAGAGAAGCAGAAAGCTGCAGAGAGCTTTCCTCGGGCTCAGGACTGGAGAGCTGCTAGCTTTTCTCTGTGGTCTTTGAGTGCACAAGTCGAGAAGGGCCTGCAGCATGGTTGTCTCATGTTTGGTATTTGAATTTGCAGAGCTCAGCATCTGAACCATCCTGGCATGTTTCTGAGCAGGGATCAAGACCTGCTAGCCAATTTCATCATAGGACAGGTTCTCAAAGTGTGGTCCCTGAAACTTGCTAGAAATACAAATTCTTGGGCCCAACCCCAGACTTGCTGAGTCAGAAACTCCAGGGATGGGCCTAGCAATCTGTGTTTTTCCAGACTCTCCAGGTGATTCTGGTGCATACTCAAGTGAGAACCACTGCCCTAAAGAGTGGTCACATAAGGAGAACAGAGCACAGGCCAGGGTCAAAGTGGAGAAGTCATCTGGAGGTGCCTCCCCTATCTGTCGGCCCTAGTCAGAGACCCCCTAGGGGGAAGTCTGGAAGGAGATGAGTAAATTGGGGCATGGGATGTTTTTTCTCTTCTGACTGTAAGGATCACTGGCCCAACTCCATCCTCCTTCTACCTCGACACTAAAGGTCACATAATCAATGGCTGCCCGGGCCAGCCATGTTCTGTGATGCTGCACCTACCCTGCCAGCCTGTGGACTGAGGCCTTCTGCTCAGGGGCTGAGGCTTTGCTTTCTCCAGAAAGTGACAGCGGAGATTTTAAAGTAGCCAGTGGTTACTGTGGAGAGAGCAGAACAGTTCGAGGGGAGCAAGTCCCTGCAATGGGGGTATTCACCGTGGCAGCCCTGGATCTACAGTCTGATCCCACCGAGGGAACTCAACTTTTGCATCCACTCAGTGAGCAGAACAGTCCTCACTGGCTTTCTTAGTTGTTGTAGAGACTAAATAGCACTTGGGTATTGGGGAGAAAAATAAAGCATTGCTAAAAATACATAAGGTTTGGTGACCTCCCACCAATAATCTCTTTTCTAAGGGATATGTTACAAATGATACTGGACACAAGTCTCTGATTGCATAATCACCAGACTAGGATCTGGCTTTGATGCAAATGGTATGCCAGGTCTCTGGGCCTTGAACATGGTTGAAATGCAGGTCTTCTGGGTGGTGCTTGCTTTCCTGAAGGTGGGTGAGGATGGAGGGGAGGGAGAAAGGTGGGATGATGCTCTAGTCTCAGTGCCCTGTCTTTATGTAACTGAGGCAGTTGGCAGAGCATAGAATCATAGGTGCTTGATTTTTAAAATGCTATGTTTTCATTGAATAAAACAGGTTTAAAAAAAGGAATATTACCAACATAGACTATTGAGTGCTTTTTGCATGCCAAGAGGTGTTTTCTTAGTGCTTTATTTGTGTGAATGCTTCAAAGCAATCCTACGAAGTAGGTACCATTATCCCTATTTACAGAAGAGAAAATGGAATTATACACATGTCAAAAAACTTGTCCAAGGTTACAGAGCTAGCAAGCAGCACAGCTGGATTCAAACCTCAGAAGTCTGGCTCCAGGACCCAAGGCCCTGCACTTAATGCTGTATTGCCCATGACAAAAAGTTAAGAAAAAAGAGAAGAAAAAAAGGTGTTTCATATGGAACACACAAACATGTGAAATATAATGGTGGCATATGTGACTCTTTTTTCTTAATACGTGTTGAGTTTTCTAAATTTTTTCAATGAATATATATATTACATTTGAAACCTACATATTTTTTAATTATTATTTTTACAGACTATAATCTCTGTTCAGGGCTCAGCTGCAAGGTGATCCTTGAACCTCCCAGGAGGCCTAGAGGTTTGTTTCTACATGTTTGGTGTCTGCCCAGGTTTGAGAGCCATGCCAAACGCAGTACCAGCCAAGCTGAGAGTGGTGGATTATCTGCTCAGCAGCCAGATCAGGGTGAGAGGAGTGAGGCCAGCCAACAGTCCGGAAGCATGTGGGGACTTTGCGCTCTGCTGCAGGTTGTGGGGCATGAGCAAAGGCACCAGGCATTTTAAGGAGACAATCCTGTTAATTTTCACTGGGCAATCCTGTTGCCAAGAATCAAGGCTTACTGACAGAGTGGGCTGGTGTAGGTCTCAGAATTTGCCTTTCTCCCCCAGCAAAAGAGGACAGCACATCTTACAAACCAAAAGCTTCTCAGTGGGCAATTGCAAACTGGGTCTACCAAACCATGTCTGGTGAGCCTGGGCACAAGGGCACACCCAGTCTTTTCTTTCCCATTTGCCTTGCAACTTTTACAAGCCCTCCAGTCCAGTGGGATTGACAGGTGAGAGTTCACCACTTCTTTTTGAGCCTTACAGAAGCAGAGTCACCTACCCAAGTCATGGTTAGAGGCAGACCAGGACTAGGACCAACATCTTTCCAGTCTCAGTTCAGTGTTCTTTTGCCACCCCATGTTGCCAGTCGAGGTAACTTTGTAAGTCTGCATGATGAAACATTAGCTGCAATGCCCTTTCACTCTGAAGCAAGTTAAATAAAAACAATTTAGCAGGCACTCTACTTATTAAGAGTGTTATAAATATGTATACAATGAAACTATCTTCACAGAGCTCTCACAGAAAAGCTATAGTCAATGAGGAAAACAACCGTTACAAAACCACATTTTGCTTACTGGGAGTTTTACATTCACAGCTACATGCAAGTTTGTTACAAGTGGGAAATCTGTTATGTTTGGTTGACAACTTACTATTTCTACATTCTTGCCACATCACTGGGAGATTTCAATGCCTAAGAAGAGAATACTTGCATTTATTTAGTCACAAGGGCTTCTGGTGTATTTATGACTTAACGGAAATTTCTTTACAGTCATAAAAATATGAAATTATGATGACTGGCTCAAAGGTCAGAGAGACAAGCTTAGAGACAAGGAAATTACCCTCCTAGTCCAATAGGGCTACCCTTCTCTCCCAAACAAATCCTCAGAGCAGCTGTAATCACTAGTGTGTATCTAAAGAGTCCCTATAAAGGGAACGGTGCTCCAAAGAAGTTCTGACAACTTAGGGAGGCAGGAGACAGTAAGAACAAGGAATTTTGACTCAGACAGGTCAAAGTTCTGAGGCTCACCCAGCCACCAGCCCCATGAACTCCGTAAATCACAGCAACCTCGGAACCTTAGCTTCCAGTGTCCTGTGTAGTAGGTGAGATGCACCCTTGTGAGGGTAAGTGTTCCACGAAGTGGCCCTCATAAGCTACAAGGAATTGCCAGCTGGCTAGAAGAGGCTGTCAAGACCTCTTTGGGCCTCCTATTCCCTTGTTTTAGGGACTCGTTAGATATGCAAATTTCAAGACAAGCCCCTGGCCACTGTTCTGTGAGGTCACTGTTCACCTGAGTGTAGCTGGTTGAGCCCAAGTTCAGTGCACAGTTCAAACACGTACACTGTAGTGCCCCTTGGCCTTGCCTCTTCAGACTGTTGTCACTCTTCTTCAGGAGGGAAAGAAATGTGTCTAGGCTTTTTGTGTGGCCCTGCACAGGAGCGTTGTGAAGGGAGCAGCACAGGAGGAGGAAGCTGCTCTGCAGCCTTTGCGTGTTGGCCTGAGAACAACTCTGGTCCCTCCTGGACTCTCCCTAGAGCCTGGGGGGATGAGCTGGTACCAGAAGCCAAACAGCACCTATCAGTCAAAGCCCTGTTTGTTTATAGGTCATTTTTTTCAATGGGGTTTTACATACAGATGGGCTGGCTTTTGATTCCTCTCCCTGGGCAGGCGGCTACTTGGTTCCCAGCCCTTCTCTGTCCACATGGGCCCACTTCTGCCCCTCCCAGAGCCCAGGTCTCTTAATCCACACATGGGAGGAGTGGTGGGAGGAAATCCATCCCCCAGACCCATTTTCTTTGCTGCCAGAAGAAGTGGACTGCCCAGTTCCCGTCTCTCAGTGCATGCTTAAAAGGCCTCTATTCTGCCACTACTGGGAGGCCAGCACTAGGGACAGGCCCCCACCATGAGAGCACCACCTGTTTCAAGTTGTCCTCTGTCGGATTGCTCTCTAGGAGATGCTCTGATTTTAGAGGCCATGGGGTATCTGACAAATGTTTCAAAGTAGAAGCTTCACTTTCACTGAGCATAAGCTTTGTAACCCTGATAGATAGATTGGAGTCTGAATATACTTAGATCTCAGAATGGAAGGGTTTCTAAAGAAAAACTCCAGAAATACCCAAATTCAGATGTAAGAAAATGTGCAAGAATCAAGAATAAAGGCAGCGAAAGCAGAGGGAGTGAATAACCTTTCATTTCAAGCTGCTTTCCCCACTAGAGACAGTCATGATCTGCACACCCTATTTGATGCAAATGCCTCTCAGAAAAGAGCCAGAGGATAATAGATAAAAAGATTATCTGTGACATT